CCTCAAACCCTAAACCGTGAACCCTAAATAGCTAACATCTGAGGTTCACGGTGTAGGAACCCTGCTCTGAAAATACACCCTCACCTGGACCCCAAATAACCTACCTTTTTCGTGTTCCTCATTATAGTTTCTCTATATAGGTCCTTAAAACGGTAGGTTCTTTGGGGTAAAAGCAAAGCCTAACCTCTAACACCCGAAAACCTTGTCCCGGTAGAGCCGAATGATCCCTTACGAAATCCTTGCAGAAACCCAAAGTGCAGAATTCGAAACCTTTGGAAACCGTAAACACGCCCTGAAACCTTCGGGACGAAAAGAGCCTAAGGCTCATAGGGACTTGTAGTATAAGGGTATCTGGCCGCTACTTTTAAGGGCCAATCGGTCCCAAAGGAAGAAGCCTTCAAGAACCAACCCTAAACACTAGACCCTATAAACCCTAAACCCCTAAAAGAACCGACATGGAACCCCTGAGCATCCCTGCATCCATTTCAACGACATGGCCACCCTTGAGCATTGCATCTGCGGCCTGCTCTGTAGGCTTCGGTTTAGGGTTTAGGGTTTAGGGTTTAGGGTTTAGGGTTTAGGGTTTAGGGTTTAGAGTTCGTTTAGGAGTTCGGTCGAAGGCTGTAGGGTTTTCGTAGTTTGGGGTTCAGGGTTTCAGGTTTTAGGGCTTAGGGTTTGAGGTATTTAGTGGTTTGGGGCTGACGGTTTCAGGTTTTAAGGGTGTTGGAGTGTTGGGGTTTCGGGTTTCCTGAAGGGCCCTTGCGAGGGTTCGCTACTTGGTCTTTTCCGAAGGTGGTGTAAATATAAACACTCAAGGTCTTTTAAGGCTGCTATACAGGTCTATTGGGGTGTCGGGTTTGGGAAAGTTGTTCGGCTTTGGGGTTCTAGTAGTTGGGGGTTGGGGTTCTAGGCTTTAGGTTTACGGGTTCCGGGCATAAGGTGTAGGGGTTTCGGTTTTGGAGTGTATAGCACAGTACAGGGGGCCTCAACAATCAGTGTTGTCATGAGGCCGTTCAGGGCTGTGTAAGGGTTGAAACCCTAAACCCTAAACC